GGAGAAAACATCGCCTCCTACCTTGTTAGGTTTGAACGGGTAGCCGAGCTACTTGGTGTGGACCAAGATAGCTATGCTGTAAGGTTCGGTAGCCTACTGAGTGGTAAACCGGTACAGATCTATACGTCCCTTTTATCACTAGAGATTACTCTCTGTTGATGCAAGCTCTCTTGTAAGTGTTTAACAAGGCTTCTGATGGTTATCGTGTTGATTTCAGCAGAACATAGATAGAGCAGGGGAAACGTTCCAGCAGTTTTCAATCCACCTGGGCCGTTTGTTCCAACAATGGCTAGAGGCGTCAGAGGTTGAGGAAACCTTTGTGTCTCTCACTAACTTCATGAAATTGGGTCAGTTTTTGTCTTCTTTACCGCCAGACTTGAGAATTTTCATCAAGGAACACCGGCCAGCGACGCTTAGAGAAGCAGTAGAACTTGCTGACAACTGGGCGTCCGCTCACAACGCCTACCCCAAGTCTCCCCCTCCAGCTGTGAAGAACACGAAGCCTCCGTCCTCCGAGGAACCATTCACAAGAGTAGAGAAGAGTAGTTCACCAGCCGTTCAGTGCCACAACTGCGAAGAAGGGCACATTCGTTTTCGCTGTCCAATGAATTTCCTCGCCTTCAATTCTGCCGACATTCATCAGCCCAGCTACACGATCGGATTCTGTTTGGAAGACAGGAGCTGCCCCCGTTATTGCATCAGCGGAACAATAAATGGGTCTTGGGCATCTACTTTCATCAGGGACACTGGCTGTTCGTGCATTATTGTCTCTTAGGAAGCCCTGCTTGACGCTGACGTCTCCAGCTGCTCGAAGGTTAGTGTCGCCGATTATTTAGGTCGTGTTGACCAGTTCCCTGTTGTTAGGCGCTACCTGCGTTGCCCCTATTTCATTGTTTGGTCTAATGTGGTAAGAGAGCCCATTAAATTCGCTAGTGTTCTCATTGGTAATGTTCCCGGAGTTCGTGACCCGAACGACCCAGAACCTTTAAAACTCTCCTCGCCACCAGCGCCAGTCACCTCGCCACCTGCCGGCGTCACCTCGCCACCTGCCGGCGTCACCTCGCCACCTGCCGACGTCACCTCGCCACCCTCATATGCCACCTCACCTCCAGCAAAGGTCCAAGCTGTGGAGACACGGTCGACGAAGGTGAAACGACTGCATCCCCTGACTCTGCCAAGCTTCAAGCCTCGTGTACCACTCTGACGCGGGTAAGTGAGAAGGTGATTTCCGGGGAGGAGGATCAGGTTAGAGATGGGTCGGTTTACAAGTTTGTTTGTATTAATGGTCTGTTACATAGGACTTGTGTGTTATCCAAGCAACCAGTCAAAGTAGGTCGGTTTCTACATATTGTCCCTGCTGATTGTCGTAGCAACATTCTCACTGTAGCTCACCACAGCCCTCTAGCAGGACACTGTTTGCGTAGAAAGACTTATATGAAGGTTGCTCATCAGTTTTACTGGCCAAGTACGGGAGCAGATATTAGAGCCTTTTGTAGGAGTTGTGATCATTGACCACGTATGTCCGCCAAGAGTAGAGTCCGTCCTGTTCCACTTACAGTAAACCCTTCCCATCATTACAGAAACATTTTCTCGGGTAGCCATAGATTTTGTTGGACCATTCTCACCCCCTTCCCTTAAGAAGCCTAAATTCTTTCAAGCTAATTTATTAAGGAAATATAATTGCAGGACCCACATTAGGGTGTGACCGTTGTCCAAACTTTGTCCTACAATGCTGTTCAAAATTTTGGTGTTGCATATTGACATAAAAAATACCCACGTGCAATTTTTTGAAGATTCATGCATATTTGAGTGAGCACCAGCAATTTGAAAATTGCGATTTTGCTTATACGGCATACGCGCCTATATATGAGATTACACAACCATCATAAGGGATATTAACGCAAATCATTTGCCTGTCTTAATTAAAAGCTGTTATCACTAACACAAAAAAGTTAATCTTTCTTATTCTCTCATGGTACATTAAGGCAGGGGTTTTCAAACTATGGGTCCCGACCCTTCAGTGGGTCGTTAAATAAATAAATTGGGTCGCAAAATAAAAATGGGTCGCGAAAATAAATCAGAATATTTTTATTTTCATACAATTGGATACATATAATTCAAATATAAATGGATCATGAGAAATTTACATGAATTTTGTCGATGCTAAATAAAGGAAAATTGTGAACAGTGTTTGTCTTTGATTTACTCATTTCATATCATTACACTTAGGTTTAATGGGTCGCAATTCAAATTGTTGTTCTGGCTGTGGTTCGCAGTAAAAAAAGTGTGAAAAACACTGCATTAAGGGGTTCTATCATATATTCACAAGGTATTATTTCTCTAGAGCAAGAAACCATGATTTCTGTTCGGAAACAGATGATCGTTTGCGCTGATTAGGAACATGGAGTCTGTCATTTTCAACTACTTGAAGGACTTCTTGAAAGCGCTCTTCATCCCTGGCAACATTAAGAAAGTTATGGCAAAGTTTTACACCACACTCTGCAGCCTCATTGACGACCTGAAGCTTGTCCACAACCCGTTTCCTGTTCAGGTAGTCGTCATGATCCGCCCATTCACTGGCTGGACTGTGGAGAAACTGATAGGGCGTGCCTAAAATGGTGAAGAACCGGCTTGAGTCAGGCCCAATTAGGTCCACCAGGGCAGTGCCACTTTCTGGGACAGGGTGAAGATATGGCTTTCCATAGCCCCCATGATTGAGCCCCACTCTCTTAGTAACTGCAGTGCCTTCATGGCAAAGAAGGGCCTTCCTCATCTCCTCGTTTGTCCTTTCTTATACTTGGGACGTCATATGGGGCAAATTCAGCCAAGGTTTCGAACCAAATTCAAGTAATTCAGTGGTGCACTTGCTGGAACGTGGCAAACAATCCACCAAAGGACATAAACAGCGACTGTGAACACAGCAAACCGTTCTAACTTGCTGATTTGACTTTTAGTAACAACCTCGGCTTTAGGAAACTGCTCTTTGATCTGGCCTGACAAAAGAACAATCTTGAGGGTATAGAGCAGTTTAGCCACATCCACCTTGCTTTGTGAAGTGCGCCGGGGTAGACCATCGTGAAGTTCACTGGCTCGGATCCTTTAGTTACAAGCAGCAGACAAAGCTCTACCAGCTCCTTGTAGTCGCCACGTGTATATGGTTGGGCTAGAGATTCACGGAAGAAGTCAGCCTTCTCCTGCTGGCGCTCCTCAATCACTCCAGGCATTGCGGGGTAGTAGTATTTCTTTTTTTCATTGTACTCCAGTTGAGAGAAATAGGTCTTGAACCTAGAAATGCAATTACTGTGATTATTGTATTTCGTACTAATCTATAATATTGTTTTAGGGGTATTAAGATTGATATGATCGATCATTTGCTTGGTGTTAGTATATCTTATAAGTCTAATAAAAGAAATTCCACTAGATTTGTTAATTAGATAATAATATTCCTTGTTATTTTGTAAAACTTATGACTCACCTCTGGAAAACCATTAAGATCGGACTTAAAGAGCCCTCCACTTTCAAGCAATCCCAGCAAACACCTAGGATGACTTCGCCCACATGCCTGCGACAGGCACACCAGAATACGTCACGCTCTAATTCCTTTTGGAGGGAGACGCAAGCAGCTGTTTTTTGTCCTGAAAAAAAACGTAATTATAGTTTACTGCCACCATTTCAGGCACGCGCTTTTTGCAGATTTCTGTTAAATCATTCACTGTATTTTGGTATTAATGTTGTGATAAATTCACGCTGATGTTTGAAATAGGTTTAAATGTATTGGATGAAGTTGTGTCGAAAACCATACCAACGACATTCTGTTCACACTCCCAATCGACCAGAAGTTGTTTGGTTGCTGTTGATATCAAGTCTCCTTGAACCAGGCCAGCTTTTTGAGTCAAATGCGGAAGAGGTGGGACTCCAAGAAGCTTTGTGCCATTGACACCAGACACCGAAATGGGCAGACGGTCATCAGTGCCTTTGGAATCCAGCGTGTCCATAAGTTTACCATCCCAGTGCACCAGTACTTTATCTGATGGTTGCCATTCATCCATGATTTTTAAACTTATTTCTGACACGATGGAAGCTCGGTATCGGTGGGCTGTTCTTGCATTTAGACTCAGCTTTGATGTATCTCCACCACATGCAGATACAAGGTGGGTCGGCGAGATGTTGTTTCGAACACTGCATGAAACAAGTTCTGCTGACTTCAGAATATCATCTTGCACAAAAATTGAAACTCCCTCTTTCACTGTTCTCCGATGTTTTTTCTTTGGTTCATCAGTGCTGGCCTCATCAATGTCATCGTCCTCATCAGAGCTAATAGGTGAATCAATATCAGCCTGTACATTCTCAGCATGATCACATTGCTCTCTCTCTTGTCGCTTCTCTTCTCGCATCTGCCTTTTCTGTCGCTTCTGAACCTTTTCAGCCGCCATGTCTTTCAACACTGTGTTCTTATAAAATTTCATCGTCAGGCTCAATTCTGATTTAAACTTCATAATTCCAGGATCATCAGCCCGTCTTCTATCCTCATTCTTTTTCATAAGCATCATGTAGTCTTTGTCATAGTAAGTTTTAATCACTGTTCCTACCTGTAATGGTCGGGACATTCGCCTTCTGGTAATGCAAAAGCACATTGTCAATGGTGGCAGATAAAGCCTGGTCCCAATGCATATCCCGAAGGTTTGCTAACAGATAGAGTAAAACCTTCCTATCAGTTGGCAGTTTGCAGCCCCTTATTTCCTTTTCTATTTCTTGGGGTACGGTGCCCAATAACATTCTGACATATTCATCATCTTGCCGTGTATCCATGATTAAATTCTCTATTCACAACATCAAATCACTGTCAAGGGAAAAGAAAAGCGCATCATTAAAATTAAATGCAATAAAATA